GGGGGGCGGGGTGGGCAGGGGGGAACGGCGGAGCACCAGCCAAATGCAAACTGTACCGCGAGCGCTCATCATGGGTGCTGCCGGCAACTAGTTGACTGTTGGGAGACACAACACAGAGAGGTGGCGCCATACCGACAGCCGTCACGGCTCGTCACGCCCCGTCACGGGCGGGGTGGCCCTCGTCACCCCCGTGCGAGCCGAGGGGGGGGCGAGACTGGTGCATCTTTGTCACACCCGACACCACCACCACCAGATGACGAGAGCCTGTTGAGCAGCGGGGCGCGGGGCGCGGGGCACCGGCGGCAGGGAGCAGCAGCGCGGTGCTCGCGGATCAGCTGATCTCGGCGGCGGCCCCGCGCCCCCCGCAGCGACGAGCGCGCGCTTCCCACATCCTTGACGCCGGCTATACCCGACGACGCCCACGTCACGGGGAACGCGGCGCGGGGGGACGGCCGGCGTCGCCGCCAAGCCCAGTCCCCCTCACTCCCCCCCCCCCCCGAACGAGCGGCTGGCCGGGGGGCTGCGGCTGCCGCTGCTGCTGCTCGACGAGCTCAACAAGTGACTGAACAGGACCTGCTGCTGAAGCACCCGTGCGGGGGGAGAAACTCACTCGAGGAATGGTGTTTTGTTGCGAGGACGCCGGCCGGTCAGCTTTTAATCCATGTGACGGAGAGGGACGGACGACGGCCGGGCTAGTGGAGAAGACAGACAGGCGGACTAACAGAACAGACGGACTGGTGACAGACACACACTGCACTCCTACGGCCGGGCCGGCAACCCCAGAAACGAACACGCGCGCACGATTCAAACCGCCGGCAACACAACGCCACGCCACGCCACGCAACACAACACCGGCGACAAGCCGGAGCCGAGCCGAACCGAGCCGAGCGGTGCTCGCAGTGCGCGCGCCTCGTCGGGACTGGACGCCCTCGCCGCCCTCGCCGCCCCTCGCTTCGCCTCGCCTCGCCGCCTCGCAACGCCACGCCGCGCCGCGACCGCCTCACGCTGCCAGAGCCAGAACCAACGCAAGACTGAGGCTCGGGAGGGGGCGCAGGGGCCCCGGCCCCCGTGTGCAGGGCTCGGCCGGCAGCGCCCCCGCGGCGGCGGCGGCGGGCACCACAGCCAGAGCGCCAGCATGCGCGCCAGCCAGAGCCAAGAGCGGGCGGAGGGAGGCGCGGTGGCGGGGTGGCGGGGCAGGGGCGGCGCAAAAAACTCCCCGCCGCCCCTCCTCGTGCTGGCAGGGCAGCCGCCGCATTGCCATGCCACGCAACGGCCGGGTAGCACCCAGCAGCACGACCCCTAGTAGTGGACGGGGTACATCACACAAAGATACGGATAGTGGCAAATCGTTCGCACGCGATGCCGCTTTGCACACGGCTACTTATGGCCCAAATAAAGGATTTGACCCGCAGAGGCAACAAAAATTTCCCTTAGGGAAAATTTTACAGGCCTTCAAAATTACCATTGCGCCTTACGGGAGGTCCGGGTAGGCAACCCGTCGCACACTCACCGCGTTTTCGCGCCTTCGGCGCCTGTAAAGGCCAATATCTCGTCCAAAAATGCATATTTTTGGATAAACGTTTTTTTCATTTGAAAGAGGAGGTTTCAAGGAACATTTCTAGCTGCCGAACGCGACTCTAAGTATCAAAGATCGGACGGGAAGTGGAGCCAAAGATGAAATATCGTGCTAAACGACATAGTTGCGTTCAAGGGCCCTGGAACCACCCTGCAATGGCACCTGGACTCGTAAACAGTGTTAGATCCGGAGTAGAAAAG